CAATGTCAAAAGAACACAGAATTCTTAGAGTAAGTAATATAACATAGAGCATCTGTTCAACTTGGGTGCGTAGTCACACCTAGTTCATACACAGAAAACCACCTCAAGGATGTGGAAACACCTGTTTTTGAGAATTTAAGCTGTCTTCCAGCACAGAAACTGAAGATTAGGACAGAGCGGTTGGTGCTTCAGCAATGGAAAAGTTTGCCTCTCTACTGTCTTTCCAAGTGGAAAACAAGTAAGATTTAGGGTTAATACGAAATTATGCATGGCTTTTTATTTATTTATTTATTTATTTTTTATTTATTTTTTTTCCTTTTATTTGTCTTTTTTCCGTGTCCGGCAACAGATCGCAACCCTCAGTGTCGCGCCCGTAACCGGACCGTGACCGGCAACGGGATCGCAACCCTATTTATTTTTTTTTTTCCCTTTTATTTGTCTTTTTTCCGTGTCCGGCAACGGATCGCAACCCTCAGTGTCGCGCCCGTAACCGGACCGTGACCGGCAACGGGATCGCAACCCTCAGTGTTGCACCCGCACCTCGCTCAGCCAGTGAGCAGGAACCGGTCTGTATGTGGGATCCGAACCCTCGGCGGGAGCGCCGCCGCACTCCCAAGCGGTGCACTGTAGCAGTGAGCCACGGGGCTGGCCCTGCATGGCTTTTTAAAGTGCCAGATCACCTTCTCTCTGGGTGGCTGTATGTCCGCATCTGGCTAAGCTTTCTCACTTCTGTAAAGGAAAACACCAGCAACTAAATTATCTGGAAACTACATCCTCTTAACTTTGACTTGTATTCATATTTGTTCTGGTCTTAGACACAATTTTCATGTCATTAAAAAAAAATTCTTATTTTCCTCTTGAGCAAGGCAGGGTGCAGAAGGCAGGATTTGAACACTATTTAGGATCATGAGCTCTGAACTGACCCTGTCATGTACTGAGGAGTATCTATGAGAGAGACCCAGGCAGTGCCTCACTGCTGAAGGCTCCTCCACTCCAGCCCCTTGACCTGAAGTCTGTGGACGCTGAGGCATGCATTGGGAGGCATCACTCTTACTGCATATTGTATGGAACCCTAGATCTTCAGGGGTGCTTGTGACTCATCTCAAATACCATTCCCTAGTTTTTCTGTTTCCCACCAGGATGCGATCACCCCCAAGGGCAGGAGCTACATCTATTTTGATCCCTGATTAATCTCCAGTGACCAGATGAGGCCTGGCACACTCAAGAAATACTTGTTGAATGAAAGAACAATTTCAACTTTAAACTACAAATAGCATCAAATGTTAACTGAAAGCATTAAATGTTTCACAGGGCTGTGGTCAAGATGGGCAGGTTCCCCAGCCCCATCCCACCTACACTCATTCCTTTATTTGCTAAATAATTATTACACACTTAAACTTAGGCACAAGATGTTGTTTAAGATGTGCCAAAAATACTGCTGTGCACGTACCACGCGTAAGACATCACTGTCACATACCGTATATACAAGAAATTTACCAGGATTGCTAGCCTCATTAAGGCTTTATTGTTCAAAAGAAAGGAAAACACTTAATGTCAACACTTCAAGGCAGAAGAATTTTGCCTTTGGATTTACTGACACAAGAGAGAGGAAAACTTTATCCCATACACAAATCCTACTATATTCTATGTCATTCACACCCTGGTTTATGGTATGAAGACAGGAAGAATTGCTGTTAATAGAGCTTATTGCCAACCCAAGTTTCCTTAGCCAGAAACAGCTCTCAGACCATCCAACCTGACTTGATCATCCAGAAAAGAGTAAGTTTAGCCATAGTCCACCTTGGTTTGTTTAGCCACAGTCCACCTTATTTAGGAGTCATATGGCTCATGTGGAGCTGACGTCATAAATCAGAAAGCTGAGTTAAATCACAGCTCCATCTCTCATTGGCCACATGACTCTGTAAAAGTTACTTAACCTGTCATCTGTGACACGGGAGAAAGGACAAGGGCCCCCCAGAGGTTCTGGGGATTAGGCGAGAGAGCACCTGGTGTGCTTTTTCTCTGCTTTCACTTTTAGCTAGAAACAACTTTCCCAGTTCCTGGATCAGATGATGCCGCTGGTGATCGCTTTCCGGGGTGTCAATATGACTAAGCAGGTCACTTCACACACAGCTGGGTCCTCTCCAGACTCTGTTCTGGGCTTAAGGATGAGATGTCCGAGCTGCAGCCTCCCCATAACAGGCTGTGCACTCGTCAGTGGTCACAACCATGAGCCGGACCAAGCTGGGGAGGCCCTCTCTGGGAGGCCCTCTCTCAGGCACAGGGAAGAGACAGGAGAGGTCAGAAGCTTGGTAACTCCTTGTTCCTTCCCTCTCTCAGGATGCTAATTTGCTGCTCCCGGCAGAGATGACAGGCCCAGAGATCTCTGCCGTGTGTTTTCCCCAGGCTTCGATGTGTCCACTCTAATTCAATAACTGCCTGCAGAGATCCTCCTGCAGGGGAGTGCGGTGCTAGGTGCATGGCTCAGTTCCAGGGATGTGGGGCCCTGTTTTAGACATTTGTGCTGCCAACACAAGATGACCTCTGGTTTCCTTAACTCTGCTAAAGCCATCACTCCCAGGTGATTTCTGAGGGAGGCCGAAAGCACAGAAATGACTGCTCACAAAAGAAGAACCAACAATGCCCACTAACTGCATTTAGGGACAAGGGGCCAAGGGGCCAAGGGCAGGAGAAGTTCACTTCAAGGTGATATGTAAAAAGCATCTGTGAGCCCTTCATCCTGCCAGACATCAAAAGTTCTACTTAGCCCACCAGAAAACCACCTAGCGCTTGGGAAAAGTTTCTTTCTCTTAAAGAATTAGTATGCTCCCTTTTCTCTGATTAAAGAGGATCATTTAGTTGCACTTTATCCATCATACTATAGGCCAGGGTTATTTCATCCTTTAGGCATGATTTATGAGCTTTCTTTTTTTTTTTCCTTTTTGTCTTTTTTTTTTTCATGACCGGTAATGGGTTCGCAACCCTCGGTGTCGCGCCTGCACCGCGCTCAACCAGTGAGCAGACCGGTCTCTATATGGGATCCAAACCCTCGGCGGGAGCGCCGCCGCGCTCCCAAGCGCTGCCCTCTACTGAGTGTGCCACCGGGCCGGCCCTATGAGCTTTCTAATGGCCTACAAAAATGTTTAAGAACTGGGAAAAATGTTTAATACAGTAGGCTCCACTACATTAAACGACGTATACAACACAAAAATTGATAAACGTTTAATTAGATGTTAACAAAAAACTAACGTTATGTCAACTGAGTATTAGATTTAATATTCATAAAAATTACTGTTAAAGTAAACTGTAGGTTAGATTGGCTTACTTCATAAGAATTTGTGAATATCTATAATGGTTGGGCAAATAGCCTAATAAACCACAGGGCTGGATTTAGCCAATTAATTAGCTGATTAAAGCATTCCACGTATTTCTCAGAAAACCATTGTATTTCATGTAAGGCCTGGATGCATTTTTACAGGATTTGTGGAGGAGCCTCCCAGTGTAGGAACATCCACCACTGGGGAGTGCTGGTTAGGACTGAATGCTCGATTTCAACAGGTCCTCAGGACAGGTAAATTAGCTGCGTCCCTTCTGTGGACTCTACCTTGTTTTTTTTTATTTTATTACCTTTCTCATTCATTCATTCACAAATATTTACTGTACACCTAGTACACATTTATTCTGATAGCTGAGCCTATCATTCCAAATCCGAAGAGGTGGAAAGACACAAAATAAAAAAAGGAAATTAAATATGTGTAATATTCCAAGTCTTTAAATTTGTTCATCTTCCTCAGTTATTAGAGATGAAAATAATTTGTGGTCTGTCATATTCCCCTTTTTTCTCCTTTTTTATTTTAAGAATGCTTCACTACTTGTTAGTGTTGTCAGCGTGTGGCAGGGAAGGAGAGCAGAGGAAACTCAATTAAGGTTAGTCTCTTTGACCTCACCATTACCCATGACCTTTATCACCACAGAAAATTGAGATGAGACAGTGTTTCCTCCCTTCGATGATCAGTCACCTCCCATGCTGGACCCCTGCCCAGTGAGCACCCCTAGGATCATGCAGCAGACAGGGAAAAAACTGGGAAACCCAGAAAGCGCCTTACAGCATGGGAACCGCAGGCACTGCCCCGCCGAGCCCCACCAAGGCTGCTCTCATCAAACACCGATGCCTGTAACCGAAACAGACTGTCAGCATGGGGCACCTTTCCTTTCTCCAGGGTACCCTGAAAACATAAGCTAGGAAAGACTGACACATGCCAGGAATCTGTCCTGAAAATCATCATGCATTCAGGCTTAAAAACACCATTTCCTGCTCTTTTCCAGAGAAAGAGCTGTGGAGCAGAACAAGAAACATGCAAAAATCGAGAGAGAGAGAGAAGTGTTAGTTGCTGTCAACTGGCATCCAGTTTAATCTCTAATAGATCAGTTAAATCTATTTTCTTTGAAAAACATCCCATGCTAAGAAAAACTTGTTAATCCAGAGTTCAAATGAGCAAATAATTCAAACATACTGAATTTTGTCACAGCATCCACACACTTGATGTTTAAGAAATTAACATAGTGACCTTGGAATAAAATATTAAATTATGTTAATTATAGTTCTAACACTGAATATTTTATAACTCTTTAAAAGTTAGTAAGTAGAAAACAGAATATTTGATTAATTTGAAAGTGCTATGTAATTAATCACTGTGAACAGGAGCATACAATACCAAAAATGGTGATGTCAAACTCTGCCCAGTTTAAAGAAACTTTCATTTCCCTGTTCCCCTTGAGGAGATACTGGTTTGCTCAATCACTTGTATGCCTAATGCATAAGTGTGCAATCTTACGAAAATCCTAAAAGTTATTAGCAATACAATAGCATAGTTACTTTGAATATTTAAAGTTTCTTGTGTAGCATAAGTACCTGTATTTAAAACTGGAAATTTCCAAAGTAACACAGTAAATGGATTAGGATCTGTTAAGGTCACCAACGCATTAAAACATCATCTTTCTGCCAACAGGTAAATGGTGCTGTTGCTCTGTTTCAGCCTAACAATCCTATACAAACATGAATCCTCCTGGAGACTGGAGCATGTGACAGCTACTGTCAGCAGTTGGGAGAGAGAAAACTCAGATGGAGCTGGCCGGTTAGCTCATTTGTTTAGAGTGTGGTGTTGTAACACCAAGGTCAAGGGTTCGGATCCCTATACTGGCCAGCCACCAATATAAAAAACCAAAAGAAACCAATCTCAGAGCTGGCCAAAGGGGACTGACAAACACCATGGGCACGTGTAAGCTCCATGTAAAGGTGCAATTCTCCACAACAGGGCTGGAAACAAGCAAGTCCCATGTTCCCAGAGTGCGTGCGGGGGCAGGGAGGAGGGACAGCAGTGATTTGGGAGGGGGCGCAGGGGAAGGGGGAGGGGCACACACACCCTGCGACTCCCTGCAGACCAGGCAGCGCTGTACAGGTAGGAGGGCTGGAGGATGAAAGCAAACAGCAGGTTTTAAAAGCCTTGAAAAAACAGCAACACACAATAGTGATCCAATGGCTTCAGTTATGACAGCCAAATTACTGCACAGTGGTTGGAAGAAAAAAAGCTCATTAAGGCTCTGAGTTTTCGATGCAAACCCAAAGTTTACAAGAAAGATAAATATGAGATGATGTTTAATTTTAAAATAGTAAACTTCCTCAGCAACTTTGAAATATGACTATTTCCCAGTCCCTTCTTTTCAGGCATTCCTGGAAAAAAGGGTCGGGGGATGAGAAAGATGGTAACAAGGTCAACGTCACTGACAGCAAAACCACCACAACAAAACAGCAACAGAACCAAAGACTAGGGCCGGCCCGTGGCTCACTTGGAGAGTGTGGTGCTGATAACACCAAGGCCACAGGTTCGGATCCCTATGTAGGGGTGGCCGGTTGCTCACTTGTGAAAGCGTGGTGCTGATGACAGCAAGGCCACGGGTTCGGATCCCTGTATAGGGATGGCCCGTGGCTCACTTATGAGAGTGTGGTGCTGATAACACCAAGGCCACGGGTTCGGATCCCTGTATAGGGATGGCCTGTGGCTCACTTATGAGAGTGCGGTGCTGATAACACCAAGGCCACGGGTTCAGATCCCTGTATAGGGATGGCCGGTTGCTCACTTGTGAGAGTGCGGTGCTGATAACACCAAGGCCACGGGTTCGGATCCCTATGTAGGGGTGGCCGGTTGGCTCACTTGGAGAGTGTGGTGCTGATAACACCAAGGCCATGGGTTCGGATCCCTATGTAGGGGTGGCCGGTTGGCTCACTTGGAGAGTGTGGTGCTGACAACACCAAGGCCACGGGTTTGGATTCCTACGTAGGGATGGCCGGTTGGCTCACTTTGGACAGTGTGGGGATGACACCAAGTCAAGGGTTAAGGTCCCCTTACGGGTCATCTTTAAAAAAAAAAAAAAAAAAAGAACCAAAGACTAAAGTCCTGGGTTAATGATGCACTTGGGGTGTTTAGTACATAAATCTCCACATGTGAAGAAGGGCAGAAATAATGCATTTATTCCTATCAGAGGGTCCCAGTAGCAGTCCAGACTGCTTCAGCTGGTCAGGGCTGTACTGGCCTAGACCACACTTGTGGGTGAAGCGGTGCCCGTGAGGGACACACTAGATCAGGCAGCTTGCTGGTATGCAGACTCAGCTACAGAATAGAATTGTGACCCATTCGCAGGCCCACAGCACAGGGTGCACAGTACAAGGTGAGGCAGGCAAGGTGCGTGGCCAGGCAGTGAGTCGCTCAGTAGCTGGCATCTACGTGTGCGGGAGATGACAATTCAACCTCCAAGACGCGATGTGTACTTGGACCTCTGACACCCACTTCCTTGTATTAGGGTAAGTCTCGTCTACCTATAGCCCAGCAGGCCAAGCACCTCAGGGCCCGGCCTTGTAAAAACAGGAAACAGAGGGAGCCAAAGAAATAACACTGTTCTCTCCACTCCTCAAAGACGATGGTGTCGGATTATGCACAAAAACTTTCCAAATTGCTTCCTGGACACATTTGCAAGAGAAAAATATTTTTTTAAAAAAACAAATGAAACCCCAAATGGGGAACAATTGGTGGAAAAGGAGGAGAGACCCAAGAGACCAATTTTCTGGACCTGAGTTTGTGAAACTATACATTTAATAGAACCCTCCTCTTCCTAAATTCCTTTTTTCTATATTAGGTCATAAGTTATTTTAGATCAATTTTTTAAAAAGATTGAGAAAAGTCTTAGCAAATTAGTCATGCCAATTAGAACACCTACTGAGATTTGCTCTTTTGACTTCACATAGGAGAGGTTGAAGTATCCACTAAGTTTAATCAGCAATTAAAGTGACACACAGAGGAAGGAGGAGCAGGGAAAGGTGACGTGAAAAGGAGACAGACCCGGTTTCCACTCTGGGCAGACAGGGGTCTGGCAGCAAGGCCACCACTGGGAGGCCCGAGGTCAGAGCAGGAGAGTCCCTGTAATTGGNTTGGAGAGTGTGGTGCTGATAACACCAAGGCCACAGGTTCGGATCCCTATGTAGGGGTGGCTGGTTGCTCACTTGTGAAAGCGTGGTGCTGATGACAGCAAGGCCACGGGTTCGGATCCCTGTATAGGGATGGCCGGTTGCTCACTTGTGAGAGTGCGGTGCTGATAACACCAAGGCCACGGGTTTGGATCCCTATATAGGGATGGCCGGTTGCTCACTTGTGAAAGCGTGGTGCTGATAACACCAAGGCCACGGGTTCGGATCCCTATGTAGGGGTGGGCCCGTGGCTCACTTGAGAGAGTGCGGTGCTTATAACACCAAGGCCACGGGTTCGGATCCCTATGTAGGGGTGGGCCCGTGGCTCACTTGGAGAGTGTCGTGCTGATAACACCAAGGCCACGGGTTCGGATCCCTATGTAGGGGTGGCCGGTTGGCTCACTTGGAGAGTGTGGTGCTGATAACACCAAGGCCATGGGTTCGGATCCCTATGTAGGGGTGGCTGGTTGCTCACTTGTGAAAGCGTGGTGCTGATGACAGCAAGGCCACGGGCCCCTTACGGGTCATCTTTAAAAAAAAAAAAAAAAAAGAACCAAAGACTAAAGTCCTGGGTTAATGATGCACTTGGGGTGTTTAGTACATAAATCTCCACATGTGAAGAAGGGCAGAAATAATGCATTTATTCCTATCAGAGGGTCCCAGTAGCAGTCCAGACTGCTTCGGCTGGTCAGGGCTGTACTGGCCTAGACCACACTTGTGGGTGAAGCGGTGCCCGTGAGGGACACACTAGATCAGGCAGCTTGCTGGTATGCAGACTCAGCTACAGAATAGAATTGTGACCCATTCGCAGGCCCACAGCACAGGGTGCACAGTACAAGGTGAGGCAGGCAAGGTGCGCGGCCAGGCAGTGAGTCGCTCAGTAGCTGGCATCTACGTGTGCGGGAGATGACAATTCAACCTCCAAGACGCGATGTGTACTTGGACCTCTGACACCCACTTCCTTTTATTAGGGTAAGTCTCGTCTACCTATAGCCCAGCAGGCCAAGCACCTCAGGGCCCGGCCTTGTAAAAACAGGAAACAGAGGGAGCCAAAGAAATAACACTGTTCTCTCCACTCCTCAAAGACGATGGTGTCGGATTATGCACAAAAACTTTCCAAATTGCTTCCTGGACACATTTGCAAGAGAAAAATATTTTTTTAAAAAAACAAATGAAACCCCAAATGGGGAACAATTGGTGGAAAAGGAGGAGAGACCCAAGAGACCAATTTATTATGCACAAAAACTTTCCAAATTGCTTCCTGGACACATTTGCAAGAGAAAAATATTTTTTAAAAAAAACAAATGAAACCCCAAATGGGGAACAATTGGTGGAAAAGGAGGAGAGACCCAAGAGACCAATTTTCTGGACCTGAGTTTGTGAAACTATACATTTAATAGAACCCTCCTCTTCCTAAATTCCTTTTTTCTATATTAGGTCATAAGTTATTTTAGATCAATTTTTTAAAAAGATTGAGAAAAGTCTTAGCAAATTAGTCATGCCAATTAGAACACCTACTGAGATTTGCTCTTTTGACTTCACATAGGAGAGGTTGAAGTATCCACTAAGTTTAATCAGCAATTAAAGTGACACACAGAGGAAGGAGGAGCAGGGAAAGGTGACGTGAAAAGGAGACAGACCCGGTTTCCACTCTGGGCAGACAGGGGTCTGGCAGCAAGGCCACCACTGGGAGGCCCGAGGTCAGAGCAGGAGAGTCCCTGTAATTGGAGAAAATAGGCGGGAGGGGAGCGGAGAAAGGCCGACACCTTCATGTCATCTCAAAGGCACTCAGTATTGTAAATTCAGACAAATTTACCTTTTACAACAAAAACAATCAAGCGCATGCACTTCTGGGGAGGGGAAAGAAAGATAGAAAGAGAAGTGGACTAGTTAATCAACAAAACTATTACGTGAGACCCAATTAGGACTTTTGAGTCTACACATAGAAAAAAATAGATTTAATTTTAATTGCTAGCAAGACCAAAAGGTTTGGAAGGTCTTTGTAATTTGAGTTCTGATTTTTAAAGCATGGTGGGAAAAACTCAGAACCAAGAATTTGGAGGGATATCAACCTCCAGTTGATGTAATAGAATATTTCACTGGAGATAATCTGCTTGGCCCCCTTAATTAGGCATTTACATAATAAATACATGTTCAGGAATCACAGAAGATAAACGCAGTGGTACAATTTGAGACCAACAATTTATGCATTTCTGGGAATACTACTATATAAATTAAGAGTTTCCCTGAACAAAATGTTTTACCCAAATTAAAGGATTCTGGAAGAGGAAGCTAGTTGCTTTAGATTTCTATGTTGGCAGTACTGTACTAGTCATACAGGAACAGGACAGTCCTTGAAGTAGTAGTTCCATTAAATTAACTGGACAGCACCTTAAGCTATTCCATCATCCCATACCTTCTGCCTCTCATGCCTATGCCTTGAATAAGCCACACCAGAGTCACCTCAGAGAGAGGCAAGTGGAATTCTGGGGGGCACAGGGAGAAACTCAGTATTTAACACCAATACTGGAATTTGTTCTGGTGGTTGGAGAGAACACTCTGTGTAGAAGCCACTTAGTCCACCCCTCTGCAGGAGACAGAAAGCATGAAGGCCTTTGCAGCCAGGTGGGAGAAAATGCCCACAGCTGAGTACAGTGCAGTCACGCCCAGGGCTTGCTTCTGACAAATCTTAAAGACTTCAAAGTTATTCTGAAGAGTCGTAAATATCACATCCTACATAGATTCGTTTCCATTGTTACATGTAAATACAAGTAAACAAGCCAATGTAGATAAGATACCTACAGAGCATAATAATAACCCAAAGACTTGGAGGGTGGGTGAGTGAAAGGAGAAGTCAGGCAGCACAACGTGAGGACACACGGCCTCAAAGAGAGTTCTGGTCTATTTTATGTTCAATGGGTCAGCTCTAATTTTGACTTTCAACCCCTTTGGATGTGGGTTATTTCTCTTAAATGAGCTTAACTGGGTCCAATACAGACTGAACTTAGGTGAATAATTCACATCTGAGTATTAGATGTTTACCACCAGCTTCGGTTTTAGAGCAGATATCCAGCTCATCTGAAGCAAGCAGGAAATAAAGATTACTGAATGACTAAGTGCTCCCTGCAACAGCAAAACCTTTTCTTGAATTAAGAAAACACACAAACCCTTTTTCAAGGCGTTAAAACCTGCCAATACTTTGGTGCTTACAGCTGATCTTATATTCAGTCAAAACTCACCTATTAGGGGACAGAAGGGCCATCAGCTTAGAGGGAGGGACAGAGTATTTATTATCGTAGGGGCTGGGAGGCCGTGGTAGGAGCTGGAGAGTGGGCAAGCAAGCTGAAGGGGCGATGGAGCTGCCCGCACCTTCTGGAACCCCCTTTTGGCATGAGGGAGGTGGACGAGGCCTGACAGAGGAGAGGAGGACAGGAATTAAATACTGAGGCGGAGGAGGAACGGCCCCTAACAAGGAAGGAAGCCTGGAGGGAAGGAGGGGAGTGAGGGCGGGAAGGGGGTCCCAGCTACTGCTTCTGGAAGCATTTAAATGAGGCCAAAGACTACATGGGGTGTGTGTGTGTGTGTGTGTGTGCGCGGAATTTAAGGAAACAGAAGAGGCATCTGTGGACTTCAGACTTTCTCCGATTTTCTGATTTCTGAGGTGGGGTGGTTGTTGCGGGAGGGAGGTCACCAAGTCTACAGACACCACCCTGCCCTCCCCACACAGCTTCTCCCGGGAGGTCTCCCCCTTCACTGCCTCTGCTCTGCTCACGGGATTCCTTATCCTTGAAGAGCACCTCTCTGGGTTCCACCTGGTTACTTCCTATTTATTCTTTAAGGTTCACTTCACATCCTTTATTATGACACTTCCCGGCAGAATTAGTCCCTCCCTGTCATCCTGTTTACTCATCTGTTCACTGTGGCGCTGGTGTCTGGAACTCCGGGCTGTCTTCTGTTCTAGAAGCCAGTGCTTCGAGAGCACCTATCTAACTGTGTATCTTTGTGACCCCATGCCTCATTTGGTTTTCTTCTTACCTAAACTAGTTCCCTTATTTTGCTGAGTGAATATGAACCTTACCTAGGACAAATATGCATGAACTATTAGGATTCTTAAATAGTTTAGAAATTATGTCCATCAAGATTGATGCAAGTTCCTAAAGTATGGGAAGGATCTCTGTTGAGTAGAGCTCTTTATTTGCATTGGATTTGATTTTGATTCCAAGTCTAGTCTATCCCTGAGAAAGTGCTGCAAGGTTTGCATGTATCCTACAAAGTAATTGTTTTCAGAAACTCTCAAGGAAAGAACCCAAAGCATGCCTCTTCTTATTTTTTCCTTCTAATTAATTCTAACTAAAACATATATACAAAAATACATTCACTCATTGCAGCCAGCTGAATACCACAATTCACATTCAAGCTGGCATATTCAACTGCAGGATAGTAGAGTAAGTTAATTACTGCTCAGAAATTCAGTTTAAGAAAACACCTATCCAAACGAAAATTTGTAACAGACATTAAAAGAGAAAAGGACAGCTGAATTCACACATACAAGATTGCATGCGACAAAACCTGTAATTTCTGAAGAGAGGATGTGAAAGATTTAAATGGAAACCAACCAACTTCTCCTCCCTGGTTGATGAAAAAGAGGCTCTGCCATCGCCGCTGTAGCTGGAGTTCTGAGGACCAAAGAAACATTTTTAAGTGGTGAGCACTTCCGTACTATTTCAAAAGCACTGCCTGTCCCATTCAAAAGGCAAATATAAAACAATACAGACCAATATTAGGACCCCAGGAATGCTGATTTATCTAAAGAATCGAGACAAAACTGGTACAGCACAAATTCTTAACAACTAGAGAGTCTAAGCCAACTTTTATATTTCAGTGATTATGTCTCAGTGATGCTGTATGGTTAACTATTACTGGCTCTTCCCAATTTCACATCTGTAATTACTTTGCAATTACTACTAAATCTCATGCTGGACCTTCTCTAACCTTAGTCTAAACTTTCCTTATTACATATCTTCTCAGATAACCAAAATTCCATTTATTGCAAAATTTTCCATTTTTCTTCCACCGAGCACACCTGGGGGCTACAGCCCAACCGTAGCTCCAGGAAGGCTGGTGGGTAGGAGCAAGTCCACTCCCACCACCAGCTGAGAACCATTATCCACAGACGGAAAGTGCCCTGCAGATCTCTTTACGGTATCTTGAGTGAATACTTTAAAAATATTTAAAATTTTAAAAATATCAGATCCAACCAAGAATGTAGAGGGGAAAGCAACATGGTGAAAGTTGCAAATGAAGGTGTGAAATGGCAATCAAGAGGGTCAGGCAGTTTTCCTGCCATGGAGACTCTGAGTTCCCTTAGAGAGGAAACAGGTATTTCTGAACTGTTAGCATCAGTCTGGTCATTTTATTCCTTCCCACAAACAAGTATTTCCTACATTTACAGAATTTCTCATTTGATCCCATCTTATCTCCAGGCTCCTATTTACACTGTTCCTGGAGTTTTCTGCTCTGAGATCTTTCTATATATGATGTTGCCTTAGATGTAGGTTATTTTGTTCTTCAATCATTATACTTTCTTATTATTTATTAAATCAGTTTTATATCCAATTTCATTCTGTGGTGAACAGTTTATAATCAGGTCCTTTTGTATTTGATTTCTAGAGGTATTACTGAATTCTTAACTAAATCATAAAGTACTCTTTTACAGTCTTAACGTAAAAATCAAAGGTTAAAATATACGGATATACGTACAACATGGAGCTTGATGTCATCTTAGGGATATTCTAGAGAATGTAATATTGGGTTGAACTAAAGAACTTCTTAAGTAACTTCCAATTCTATGATTTTTTTGTGATCAATTATGGTAAAACAATGCACTTAGGGAAAAAAAAAGTTGCAAAGCAGTGGATAAAATTCCAGTGAGCGATGTAGGGGACATCAGAAAGTGCTGCAGCTCCTGTCTTGTAATGCTAGGACTAAGCAGTCTGCAAGAATGCCGGGCACAGTAAGCAAGACTGTTACCATCTGGCGTGTACAGAATGGTGTGCTGTATGCTCCTATCCCTGGAATGCTGTATTACCTTAAAGAAAAACATAACAGAGCTGGAGAAAGTCCAAAGGATGTCAATATAGAAAGCAACAATAAGTAGGAGGACACAGCCTTTAAACTGAGAGGTTTAAGTCTGGAATGAGAAAAGCTTAGACAAAATATAATAAAAGTACATGCAATCCTAAATAGGAATGAGAAGGTAAAAACAACCTGGTCAGCCAGTTCAGGGTGGGTTAGGGTAGGGGGTGGGGGAGGTAAGGGTGGGATCACCCATGTGAAGCTGAAAAATATGATTTAAGTATATATATAAAATATCTTACTAACATAATTAAGATAAATTAAAAGAAAGTAAAATTTATCACCAAAAGAAAAAACCGAAGCAGTGAGAAGATTTTAGATCATTTAACATAAAACAGACCTACAGCAGATCATGAAGTTTAATTAAAATGTATCCAGTTTGACCTTGTGAAATTCCCAATGACCTCCTCCTCCATAAATCCAAAGGCCTCACCCACTGCCTGTTCTAACTCCTCGGCTACTGGCACCAGTCGGCTCCTCTTCTGCCCCCCACCCCTCAACTGTGAGCATTCCACGTATCAGTATCCAGTTCTCTTCTCTTCCTTTTCCTCACCAGGAGAACACAGGCTTTAAGATAAGCATTAACATTACAAATGAGAGATGTGGAGCATTGTGAAAACATCAGATTTAAGTATATTTGAAAGCTGAATATGCTGATATATGTACATATCATACACCTACATGTAGGGCAATAAAATAATGGAAAGAGCTAATCTTTAATTCTAGATCTTTT